ATCTGATCAGTATAGTTTTTACACCAAAAAAGTTAATATCAAAGGTAAACTAGGACTCAAGAGAGGCCTAAAGGAATAAGGAAAGGCATGACCCCTAGCAGTTTAGTGGCAGTTAAAAATAGGTAAGATTTTAAGCAAGTTTTCTTGATTTTTGTACATATATAAATTGAAGAAACCTCTCTATAGAAAGAATAATTCACAGCAATTGAATACATATATACATAATATGTAGGCCTATTCCATATATCTCAGTAGGTTCACAAAGACCTTTACCTTACCCGAGATCAGATGTATATCAGCAAGTTTATGCTTTGAAGACAGTCTTCCTGGATGGCATATTTTTCCTTCTTGAGAGCACCCTTTAATAAACACATACAGGCAGAATGTTATACATTCATAAAGACACAGGCCATTTCATTTGCATACAGTGCTGTCTGTTCTTATAGGGCTTACTGGTAAAGAGGCACATGAAACATTTGCACTGTAGAAACTTGTTAATAAACAGAACTTCAAGTAACACTTGAGTAAGTGTCGTTTCCACATAAAAAGGAACTCATATTTAAGCACATCTTTAAATTTTTCAATACTGCTTGATTAGGCTAACATACACAGTGAACCACATCCAGCTCAGTAATTATTTATCTGCTTGTTTCTTAAAGTACACACACCCAACACGCACAGACCTCATTCCCTCCCATAGATGTTCCCATGTTAACAAGCAAAGCATTCTTTCTCTATCATTTCTTCAAATTACTCATCTGTAGAGGCATGGTTCATAATACCTGTGTGCAGTGTTGCAGTAGCACAAGAAAATAACCCAAGCTGTTTCAACAAAGTTCACTTGTCTCAAAATAGCTGAATGATGCTAAACCTGTGACAAGTTCACTTTTAAACCATGGAAGTAGTTTTTTAAAACATAAAAATACTAAACTTCCTTACCCCCCGCACCTAAACAACCTAGTGTGGGATTTATCTGCGTACAAAAATGTATCTCTAGCTCCAGTGGTGTACACCTCTTCGTAACTTAGTAGATATTAGCTCTGTAGCAGATTCCAAAATTTAAGAATACCCAGAATTATGAAAAGCACCAACAAATGGCCACTTAACTTCTCAAACTCTGAAGTGCCACAAAAATAGAATTACCATATATTTGTTTGAGGATGGACTGCTTGCTAGTTTTTATGGTTGAGCTGCTTTTGCTTATAGATTTTTCTTTTTTACATGAAGGAACTAATTTCAGAGGGCTATGGTTCAGCTGTTTCTTCCAAGCGACCTGGATGAAAAAGGCAGCTGTCTCTTGTCTCCATTTGTCTTCATCTTCTTTGCACTGTCGCTTAGTACTTAGTAGCTGGAACAAATCCCGTCTTAGTTGGTAACTGGAAAGAAGAGAAGAGCACTTGTCTTAAGCGACCTCTTTTAACTTCAGTACTTTATATGCATCAGTTCACATTGCAGATTACATGAATAACTGGGAAAACAAAATTCCCACTGATGTGATAATTCAGTCGGTTGAGAAATGTTTGCTTGGCAGACAAAACAAGGCCTGAGTGTAATTCCAGTTGCACACAATTCCTAAAGTATAAATTTCACACAATTACTCAAATACAAGCATTATGCAAGTTATCTATCTTGAACAGTGATTTTCATCCTGGGTGCCTTGAGATCTTTTCAAAGATCCTGCCATACAATATTAGTGCTGTTGGGTATGCAAACTTGATTTACAAGATAAACCCAGGGATTGCAAATAGGGATCCAGAGTGCTAAAAACATTTTTTACATTCTTTGCAAAAAACCCAAACTGCTCTACTTAGTATTTTTCTATTGTTAGAAAATGAGTGAAAACTAAACAGCTGGTATTTTCCAAGGGAGGAGTGACCTAAGAATAAAATAAGTCAAGAACTACTGGTCTAGAATACAGTTTGCCCTACTGAAGACTTTTTTTAGTGTGTTAAGAACAACAAAAAACATATGCACAAGGCCATTATCAATAATGCTATCTTATGTTCTTGGCATTTACAATTCAATGTAACGACATACACTTTTCTATGGCATCCTCTTGCATGTTTGCAGTAAATGACATGAAATAGAAGACACTAGATGAGAACACATTAATTGCGTCTATGCCCCCCATGCCTACAGCACTTCTTTCTTCACACAGAAACCAAAGATTTATAGCCTGATTTTTTTTATTGCTATGCAACTTGTGCCATCATTTATCCCTGTGGACATGGGATGTAAAATGTCACTGAATCAGATCCGTGATGTTTCACACCCAGAGTGCTTCATACTCTTGAAGATTTCCTCCTTTTCCTGCTTTCTCCCATTCCTATTCTTCCAAAATGCTTTTCTCCATCTCATCTTCCTCTTAATTTGGTCTCTCCTAGTCGATCCCTGGGCCCTATCACTGCTGACATGATCTGGCATGGATCAAGTTCTGAGCGTGAACTGACAACTGTGGACTGTCAGAGTCCTTCCCCTTCATTTGGCTAATGATACTTGCAAAGAAAACCCTACCTTTATCCTTTCTTCCAATGTTAGTAGCTTGTGCAGTATTTCATTCCAAAGAATCCAACTGATTAGACCAATAATTAACTCCTAAACTGTTATGAATCTGCCCAAGGGAATGGAGACTGATATTCATAAAGTATTTACTGTAACAGTATAATATTGTGTGTTGCAAGTCACAGGTGTTTGACAGTTTTCCTCAAGCCAGTCAGTGAAATCAGTTGTTTCCACATCACATAAATCATCATTGTAACTAACATTTTTTCGGATCCCTCTTAGAAGTACCAACAGAGAGATCAAGGAGAGAGAGTAGATGACCATACACACACACACACACAAGATTTTCCTACCTTTGGTAGTAACCACATATTTGTGCTGCTGCTACCTGCACTACACCGGCTCTTAAAACAGGGTCTCAGGTAAAATAATACAAAATGCAGGAAAGAAGCAAAATTATTACAGAAATTTGCTGTGCCCCACCAAGACCAGAAAGGCCCCGCTGTCTTCTCAGATGCCAATGAAAAATGAATTTGTAGTCTTCGGAGTCCCTGCCTGCCCCATGCCATATGTCACCTGTCCTCCTGCCCCGCCCCCATACCTGTGCCTGCCTCCCTGTGCCCCACGCCTACCTTCATAGTTGGTAGGGTCAGAAGGGGCTTGAGCAGATCATCAAGTCCGACCCCCTGCCATGGCAGGAAAGAATGCTGGGGTCAAATGACCCCAGCTAGGTGATTATTTAGCCTCCTTTTGAAGACCTCCCAGGGTAGGAGCAAGCACCACTTCCCTTGGAAGTTGGTTCCAGATCCTAGCCACCCTGACTGTGAAGCACTGCCTCCTGATATCTAGCCTGAATCTACTCTCAGTCAACTTACGGCAATTATTCCTTGCTACTCCCGATAGTGATCGGGGGAACAGGGACTCTCCCATTGCCTGCTGGTCCCCCTTGGCTAGTTTATAGACAGCCACCAGATCCCCCCTCAGCCTTCTCTTGTGGAAGCTGAACCGGTTCAGGTCCCGTAGCCTGAGTCTGACCCGTGTCATGTCCCTTAGCCTCCCCTTGGAGGGCCTGCCTTTCTGCCCCCTGATCATGCGAGTGGCCCTCCTCTGGACCCTCTCGATGCTGGCCACATCCCTCCTGAAGTGCGGCGCCCAGAACTGGACGCAGTACTCCACCTGTGGCCTGACCAATGTCATATAGAGGGGGAGGATCACCTCCTTGGACCTGCTTGTGATGCATCTATGGATGCATGACAAGGCGCGGTTAGCCTTCCTGACTGCGTCCTCACCATTGGCGGCCCATGTTCATCTTGGAATCAATAATGACTCCAGGATCCTTTTCTGCCTCTGTGCTGATGAGAAGAGAGTCTCTAGCTTGTAGGTATGCTGCTGGTTCTTCCTCCCCAGGTGCAATGCCCTGCACTTGTCAATATTGAATCCCATCCTATTCTCATCTGCCCACCCCCATAACCTGTCCAGATCTAGTTGCAGCCTGTCCCGCTCCTTTCACGTGCCCACTTCTCCCCACATCTTAGTGTCATCCACAAATTAGAAAAAGGTGCTTTTCACCCCCTTGTCCAAGTTGCTAATAAAGATATTGAACAGTGCGGGCCCGAGGGCCAAGCCCTAGGGAACCCCACCACCCACATTCCTCCAAGGCGAAAATGACCCATCCACCACCACTCTCTGGGTGCAGCCCTCCAGCCAGTTTGCAACCCATCTGTGTAGGCATCGACACCATTGCCTAATTTTTTAATGAGAATGGAGGGAGACCTTGTGGTCTCACCCATTTGCTCCCCCAGCCCCATTGTGTGGTCTGCCTTATGCTCCCTCCACTACATGGGTAACTCTGCCTCCTGAGTGTGGGGGGGGCACCCACAGAAGCCATTGGTGTTGGCAGTGGGGATGGAGCTGGCGAGCACCCGCAGAAGCCAGCCCACAGCAGGGTATTCTTTTGGTTTTGAGTTGAGCTGATGCCCAGGACAGGTGATCCTCAACCCAGTGGAACAGGCTGTGGCTAAGAGGTGGAGGAGGCCACAGAAAAGGGGTGAAGAAGTGGGACCCTGAGACTTTAGCGCATGTGAGAAGCAGGGGAAAGAGGCTGTGGGATTGACTGTGAGCTCAGCTGGGGAAAAGATGGTTAAGTTACAGGAGAAGAGACTGCCTGTAAAACTGACTGAGGCAGAGAGGGGAAGGCCCTGCCCAGGGCTGATAGCCTTGAAGCGGGGTATGTCCTGCTGCAGTGGAAGCCTGTGGTCCTGGATAGTGGGTCCAGAGTTAATAAGGTGCAGCTAAAATAAACTTGGGTGGGCCTGTGGTAACCCTGATCATCAGACAAGGACTCTATGCCCAAGAATCCTTTCCCCTTTGTAAAGCTGAACACTTATCAGTTTATCCCATCAAGGTGTGGCAGAAGAGGTCAGTGAAGGGTCAGGCCAGGGGAAAGGGTTGATTGATGGAGGGAAAAGTCAGGAGCCTAAGCATGCTGTGCCCCATCCTGGGAAGAAATAGTCTGCCATTGTCAGCTCTTCCTCTGCCTGGACTTGTGTGGGCTCTGTCCAGGCATGGTCATTGACCACTGAAGGTTTCACCCAGGTTCTAGTCTGGCTTTGCAGGGGCTGTGGCCTGCTGTATATAAACTGTATATCATCCCTTTTTACCCCCTATATTCTACCAGAATTGCCTACACTTTGGGCAGGTTGCAGGACATGATCATGCCCATGTTGGGTGACCTCGTGAAATGTTTATCACTACCATGCTTCATTTTGCCACTTGGCAATTTAGAACAACTCAAATATTTTCTCCTTAGATGCTCTCATCACCCAGGTGGCAAACATTTATATGGGTTGCATGTCCCTACCAAGAACAGCCAGGTAGGGAGGGTTTGTGATGTAAGGGGTGCCTCCTGGCATCCATCTACTGAGTTGACCTGTTGGCTGAGGTCTGTTGCCTGCCAGAAGCTAGCATCTGAGATGTCATAGAATGGCTTTCTGAATACTATCCTGACTAGTATGCTAGTGATCCACATGGGCACTAAAGATACTGCCAGTGGCAACCTTGAGCAGCTCAAGAGTGACTACATGGCTCTGGATGCATAGGTAAATGTGACAGGGGCCCAGGTGGTGTTCTTATCAATCTTTCCAGTCAAGGGTAAAGACCCAATTAAAAGCAGACGCATCCTGGAGACATGCTTTCAAGTTGGCAGGGCCAGATGGGATGCACACTAGGGTACTAAAGAAATTGGCTAAAGTAATTTCATAGCCATTAGCTATCCTCTTTAACAACTCATGGAGGTCTGTCTGGTGAGGTCTCCAGTGATTGGAAAAGGGCAAATATGGTGCCCATCTTGAAGAAAGAAAGAAGGAGGATTAGTGGAATTACAGATCAGTCAACCTGATCTCAATAATTGGAATGATAATGAAGCAGATCCTCAAAGAATCTATTGTACAGTACGTAAAAGAGAAGAATGTGATCAGGAATAGCCAGCATGGATTCACCAAGAGCAAGTCAGGCATGACTAACATGATATCATTCTATGATAAGGTGGCAGGCACTGTGGATGGAGAAAGAACAATGGATGTGACAGACTTTAGCAAGTCTTTTGATACTGTCTCTCATGACATTCTCATTAACAAGCTAAGAAAATATAGACTAGAGAAAAGTACTGCAAGGTGAATACATAACATTTCTGGATTGCTGAGCTCAGTGAGTAGTCATCAATGGTTCAATGGCTAGTTGGGAGGAGGAATCAAGTGGGGTTTCCCAGGGGTCAGCCTGGGTTCAGTACTGTTCAATAACTTTAATAATGATTTGGATAATGGGATTGAGTGCACACCTAGCAAACCTGCTAATCACACTAAATTGGGTGAAGCTG